GATTCCTTGTTCAAAATAAAGGGTAGTTTGCTTTATAAACGTTGGGTCAAAAGTCAATCATTAGGGAGATATCGCGGTACAAAGATGGCGGAAAAATAATGTTTTTATTTTTTATCTTGAAAACGAAAAGAGATAGACTAATGACATTTTATGGAAGCATTACTGTTATGAAAACACACTTTCTGATAATTTTTTCACTTTTTTAAAATGAGTGGAAGGGGTTGAAATAAACTACCCCTATCATTCTTGTTAACGAAATTTAAAGAAAAATCTTATCAAACACATGTAAGTGCTTTAATTTGGATAGTTTAGTTTGTTTAGAAACTTTTTTATCTTTTGTGTTCTTTTGATAAAACTCACCGATTTGAAGTTAAAAAATAAAATGTAAAGCATTATATGTCAGGACAAAGAACATTTTTAGATTAAGAATCTAATGATAATAACGATAATAATAATCATCTAGATAATATCGTATTGCAGTAGAGTAATGTCAAATAAAATAATATTAGGAACATCCTAAAAAGTAACAGCGGCCGACTAGATTTTTTCCTAAAAATTACAGCAGCCCGCTAGATTCTTTATCAGAAAATGTTTTTTGTCCTGACATGTAATGCTTTACATTTTATTTTTTAATTTCAAATCGGCGAGTTTTATCAAAAAAATACAAGAGATAAAAAAGTTTCTAAACAAACTAAACTATCCAAATTAATTTTTTTGCATGTGTTTGATAAGATTTTTCTTTAAATTTCGTTAACAAGAATGATAGGGGTAGTTTATTTCAACCCCTTCCACTCACTTCAAAAAAGTGAAAAAATTACTAGAAAGTGTGTTTTCATAACAGTAATGCTTCCATAAAATTTTATTAGTCTATCTCTTTTCGTTTTCAAGATAAAAATTAAAAACATTATTTTTCCGCCATCTTTGTACCGCGATATCTCCCTAATGGTTGACTTTTGACCCAACGTTTATGAAGCAAACTACCCTTTATTTTGAACAAGGAATCACCCCCTGAAGTTTTTCGCATTTGTTTTGAAACACCCTGTATATTGGATTTGTCGCAACTTTGTCGTAAAGCATGGATGTTTCTATCTTGTCAGATCATGCTGTTAAGTTAAGATCATGCTGGTAAAATAAAATAAATTCAATCTTTTCAAAAAATTAGACTGTAAGACTTTATGACGTTGCCGTATTTTAATTTGTTATGTGTTATAATGCTATGTTCCAAGATAAAATGTATTTTTGACCATGTGGGACCCAACTTATTAGGCATCCACTAAGATCTACGCTTCCTGTATAATTAATAGTTTAAAGAATGTTTATTTAATTTTAACGACATTTATTATCTGTTTAGGCATTTATTACTGTTATTAAATAACAACGTTTAAATAAGCATAAATCACGATAATGTTATTTTTATATCAATTAATCAATTATTAATAAACCAGATAAATAATATTGACTGCAATGTTTTAATTACCCTAGAACTATTTATAAATAATGAAATAATGAATTTAATCTAATATTGTTTGACTTTTTAGTGTTACCAGCTATTAACTCGAACTTAAATGATATCTATAATAATTACTTCCTTATTCTAATTATGGTTTATCTTGTGTATACTGATAGTAAAGTGATTTAAAATGTTTGTTTTAGGTGTACAAAGTGATAAACGTTATGTATAAGGATTATAAAAGATATCTTATTAAGTATCCTAATTTAGACGATTTTTTTTGTTCCCTGTGTGAATCCCTGTATATTAAGGTGGACGTTATCAATACATAATTTGATGCGTAATTTCTACTTTATATGGTAAAGTTTTCGAAATTGGGCCGACAAAAATTAGGCCTGCTTGTTTTTTTCTATCATCATATCTGTTAATATAATCTGACCACACAAAGGATGAGCGACACGAATGCTCAGAAGGGGACGTATATTGCTCTGGATGCTAACAGTATGCCATAACGGCTCTGATCTCCATCGTAAGTGGATGAGGATACAGGGTAGTTCGAACTGTATTCTGGAAACTCAAAACAAATAACGCTTTATTGTGCAAAAAGGCAAAATAGCTTCATCGACAAAGCATTTACAAAACAAACAAAAGCACAAAAAATATACAAATAATAAAACATTTACAATATAAATCATACAATTTAAAAAAAATTAAGTCATTAAAATTACAAATAGAACATACATGGATAACTATTCCATAACTCCGGCAGCATATTCTGCAGATAAAAATAAGTTAAAAAGTTCATATAAATGTATGTCCTAATATGTTAGTTTCGGAGATACAGGGTGTAGAAGTTTTTTTTTATTTCAATTTTTTTCAAATAATTTATGAAGTAACGTCAATATTTGGATGAAAATTGGTCTCTGGGAGTTTTTTGACATTGATTTTGATGTCAATATGACTCCTACTTGTAGAGGGCGCACTCTACATATTTTTTAACTGATGGTTTGAAGACTAATAACTTTTCGTCCGTACCTGTATAAAACTACTGATTAAAAAATATACATTTACGACGTTTTTTACGTAAAAAATGTCTCTAGGTAAAAATCACTACGAGTATATATGATATATTTCGAATCGTAATTATCAATATCTGTCATCATTGACATAAATTAAACATGTTGACTAAATAGTTATTAGATTGAAATCATGAATTTGAAATGTTTTTGTGCCAAAAGTCCAACAGAAACTGTTTCATCATCATTTTGTGCAGAAAAATTTATGGTTATGTAAAAAAAATAAAAAATTCCCAAATTGAGTTTTTTAGTCGAATAAATATCTACTTAAGGTTTTTATTTTCTGTCAACAATGACATGTATTGACTATTTTCATTCTAAATATCTTGACCCAAGCTCACCTGATGATGGGGTAGGGCCCCGAAACCGGTAATGAGAGCAGGTTGATCCACATTATGATGAACACAGTGTGGAATTAATTTCTATATTAGCAGTTCAAGGCAGCTCAAAACTGGCTCACCCCTATAACTTTTTTATTTTTTCGGATAATAAAACGAGATTTAGTATGTTAGTATATGACATAAATTAGGATTGACTCACAAAACATCCCCCTTTAGAAATTTTTCTTTAATGGCCATAAGCGGGAGTAAAAGACCAACGGTCCGAACAAACACTAGAGGCGCCACCGGTCATCAAATGGTGTAAAAATTGGGAAAATTTAATCATCTAATTTTGACACAAGGGGTCGCGCTTTACTTTTTCAATTTTAATTCTATATTCATTGTTTTCAAACTATATTATTAGACTTTATTGTATTTTGTGAATGTATAAATGTTTTCTTAGTATAAAGTTGCATTATAGTAATTTAAATTATATTACATACATATTTAAGATTAAAATATTATGACATATATGTCAGTTGCCGTCTAAAATGTCATCTTGATAAAAAGTTAGTTATTGTCAAAAGTAGTTAAAATCATGTTAAAATATTAAAATTTACAAGTTATAATTAGATATTTTATATTATTTCAACAACAAACACATAATAGTACAGCGTAATGTTAATATGCAGGTCCAAAACAAAAAGTGCCGTTATATTTTTCAGTTTTCGTTGTCAGCCGCGGAAGTTTCAGTGATTTTAGTGTTGTCGGATATTTTTATTTGTGAAATAGAAATATTGCGTTTGGATTACAAAACTAAAAGTGGAAGTTTTATTACAATGTAAGTAAGCATTTGTCCATTTTATATTTTACTTTTTTCATACCTACGACAAATATACATACAGTGTGTCAATTTTAAAACTTCCCACCCTTAATAACTTTCTTGAAGTTCAAAATATGAAAAATCGGAAAGACACGTCAATTTTATTTGTAAGGGGGACACTTTAAATTAATATTTTTAGCCTTTTTCTTTTAACCCCCTAGGAGGGGTAGATGTCACCCTTACAATTTTAAATGGGAATGGGGGTCAAGTGGCACATCGTTTTAAAGGACGTTAATTCTCTTTTCAGTGGTATCCTACTTTGTTGCTTTTTGTCCAGAGGTTTCCGAATAATCGCGTTTGAAACTTGCAGAAACAATTAAACATGCCTGCATTGAGATTATGGTTTTCACGCTAGTGTTTATAAAAAATATTGCAATGGATCTCCTTGTAGTACAAATAATTAGAAGATTAGGTGAAAACGTAGCAATTATATTTTTCTAGGGGGGTCGAAATACTAATAAACAGAAAACATCATAAACATTAACGTTTATTTTCTTAAATTCGAATGAGTGGCAACCTCTAATCAGTTATACAGGAGGATTTGTTAACATTCCAGCAGGACGGTGACGCCACCTTATTATTTTCTTCCGATCCGACAGTGATTAAACGAGAGATTTCCGGGTACATGGATTGGCAGAAGGGGACCAATTGAATGGCTTCCAAGATCACCAGATTTAACACCCTTAGATGATTTCTTTCTTTGGGGACATCTTAAATTCATTGTTTATAGAACACAACCTACACACAAAAAAGAATATTCTTATTTCAAACATTTAATACTCAAATAGAATAAATCTTAACTTTGTATATACGCAAAGAAATATATATTTATACTAATTATTTAGAATGATCAATTTAATGCTGCAATATTCTCCTAATGAATGATTAATTTTATAAAACAAGAATAAAAATTTTAGATTTAAATATTTATTATTACTCTATCTAAAACACAAACGATTATTGTTTTAAGATATCAAATCTTTTAAAGCGAAAATAAACTAATTCTACAATTAAAATTGCATTTACTCTGTTTGAAATGCCTCGAATTTGAAGTTATATAACGGTTTTCTTGATCAAAGTATATTCAATCTCCATTTGAGTAACTTATTTCTCAAAATGAATATTAGTAAAAGTTTGGTTTAAGATACGAACGAATTGAAGCAACAAAAGTTTTTACTTAGTCTGAATAAATATATTTTTAAATTTGAGACTTTTCAATTCTCCGAACAATTTTCTTTTTGTTTCATTTGAGTAAAATAAAATTCTTGAAGTAAGGCAAAAATATCTCTGTTAAAAGTTTATTTTTAGTATGTACAGCATAAACATTGGTTTGGTTTGGTCATTTTTCAAGGTATTGCGACACTGAGGATGACATGTCACATGATGTGGATCGAACTTCCCAGGTTCCAGTCCAATATTCCATTACTTTATTCCATGGCTCGGTATTATGTTGCAGCTATGCAATTTCTTCTTTAAATGTACCTAAAAATGATTGCTTTCTGTTAATTTCAACTAAATTTTACTATTTTATTGCTATACCTTCTAAATTATCTTTTTTTTTGTTTCGGGACAATACTAAAAGAGTCTTCGTCGTCATCTTCATGTGCCCCTTTTCCTTGTTTTTGGGTATCACCAGATCTAAATAAAATATTTCTGCAGTGATTCACTAGTTTGCCCTTAGCCATAACTGGCTTGTGAAATGGATTACATGCTCTTTTCACAGGGGGACAGTAATACAATCTCATTGGCTTTGTGGGAAAAAGGAGAACTATTTTAGCAGCCAAAGAATGTACTCATCTTGTTGAAGTCGGCTAAAAAATAATAATTTTTAGTTTTTGCTTATGTAAATTTAAAAGCGAGTTCAGCTGAGTAAAAAGAGTATTAAATTTTTTTAATCTATTATAGTATTCTACTTACTTTTTAAATACTAATTTTTTTTCCATAATTAATAACTAATCACACCACGGCACCAAGCGCAACAGCAACACCCATGCAACACCCCTACCTCGTCCCATCAATCAACTGTTCAACTCAACTATAAAATACCGCCTGAAGCAGGTTTAGAAAACAAGTGATGGGAAGGGGTGAAATGAAATTTGCTAATTCTCAAGACAAAATTAATAAAAAAAAATAATTTTAATCCTAGTAAATATGTTTATTTTCTAATTGGTTTGTGCAGCAAAATATATTTAAACGGAAATATAGTAGTTTCAAAATGTGTATAAAATATTTTTATTTTAAGAAAAACTGTGTTTTAATTCCTTGGTTATTTTTATTTGGAGAATATTATTATTTTATACTAAACAATTAAAGCAAAGATTTGTTTTAAATGAAGTATATAAGATTCTTAAAATAATATTTTATTTTTCTTGATCAAAACCTTATAAATTTCATTGAAATAGATTGGTATTTTAAATAGAGTATGTAACTTATTTTGGAAGCAGTATATTTAAAACTTTATTTAATACTATCAGAGTTTCTAAACAAAAATATTATTTTAAATTAAGAAAATATATTGAATAAGTATTATTTTGCTTTTAAGCAAATGCATATATTTAAACAAAACATGTATACTTGAAAAAAGTATCTGTTTACTTAAATTTAGTAAAAAAATTTGAGAAAATATGTTTACATAAATGAAGTATTTCTTTTTTTGTGTGTACTGATATTGATGATCTTAAAAGGCGAATTACAGCAGAATTCCCGGTGAAGTTTTCCGAAATGTTAGGGAGGAGTTTGAAAACACACTTTATTATTGTTAACAGGAAAATGGACAACATTCTAAACAACTTATAAGATCGGGTGTAAGTGGTGTAATGTGATCTTCTAATCTTTTGTAAATAGTAGACTGAAAACCAAAATCTTAATGCAGGTATGTTTAATTGTTTCTGCAACTTTGAAACGTGATTATTCGGAAACCACTCGACAAAAAGCAACAAAGTAGGATACCACTGAAAAGATAATTAAACGCCCTTTAAGACGATGTGCCACTTGACCCCCATTCCCATTTAAGATTGTAAGTGTGACATTTCCCCTTCCTAGGAGGTTAAAAGAAAAAGGCTAACAATATTAATTTAAAGTGTCCCCCTTACAAATAAAATTGACGTGTCTTTCCGATTTTTCATATTTTTAACTGCAAGAAAGATATTAAGGGTGGGAAGTTTTAAAATTGACACACTGTATATTGAAATTTTATAATTCGTTTTATTTAAAAAAATGTTAGAAAACAAGCTTTTAATCCTGTAATTGACATAATTGTTATGTAATATATTCCATTTAAATGTAATATATTACTTTTCAATTAAAATAATGTAATTTTAAAAAATATATTAAAAATATATACAGGCATTAATTTAATTTTTTTGAGTGCGAACAAACACGAGAGGCGCTTTATTATTTACTTTCATTTCTTAATATGACAGACGAAGTTCTAAAGGGTGATGTTTGGTATTTTTTAACTTTATTCGATAGAAAATGACACTCTGAATTGAATGACATACCATATGCCAACTTTTGACATTTTCGCATATGGTTTATTTGAAATTATAACATGCGGTTCATAACGACAATAATTTGACTCGAAATACCAAGTGTCTGGTATCAAATTATTCGTAAAAAAATGCTTTTTCCAAATATGCTAATGAGATATGCACCTTCGTTCCATTTGAAAAAAATGAGATATAATTAAAAAACGATTTGAGCATCTTTGAACCGACCAGTACAAGACACTAAAAATATTAGACGATCAAATCTATTTTTCCAAGGCTCCTTGATTAAAAATTACTGTTTTAACACAGCCATGGAGCTCTAGATTGAAATTTAAAATACAATTTTGTTTTAAGCGAAAAGGTCAAAATTTGACATATGACATTCGATTCAGAGTGTCATTTTCTATCGAATGAAGTAAAAAAATACGGAGGGTACCATTTAAAAATCAAAGGTTGTAGTCATTTCCGGTGAAACAGGAAGTGACCGAAAACAAATGAATACGTCAATCAATCCCCCAATTTATGTTATATAATAACATACCACTTTTGGGACGCACCCGGTATAAAATATATTAAATAATTCTGAATTTTATTAACGAAATTATACAAACCATGGCACACTCTAACTCTAACAGATAGTTCACTCATAATATTTAAAAGAGCATTTCTTTCGCTTTGTTAACAATCTGCAATATAAACTTCGTTTCCATATATTTTGCCGTAGTAGGTAGGGTTTTTATGACGCCGACTGTACATATAGGCGTAGGTTAAAGAGTTAAAGTGTAAAATACATTGTTATCTCTACAAGTGTCCAGAAATAAAATTGTACTTGATGTAAAGACTTCCGCTGTATTCATTCCGCTCTCCAATTCTAACAACAGACACTTGTAAATCATATTAGTTTAATGCACTGAAGCAGAGATTTTATTAAATGCATTGTATAAATAAGGCCCGGTTATAGCAATTATTAGTTAAATAATTTTTTATATTACCTTATTTATAATTTGATCAGACACCGATCCAAAGTCTAAACAAAAAGTTTTTTAAGTAGGCTATGAAAAATACAAGTTGTCATTTAGTATTGTGCACATTTAACACGATACAGGGTGACCCAGGCATCCAAAGAAGAAGAGAGAGTTGAGAGTCCTTTTGAGACGCACCCGGTATATATGTGCTATTAAAGTATGTAACAGAAAGCTGGTTTTAATTTATTTTCGTATCTTTCTAAAATTTCCTTTCCTTAGCTTTGTTATTTTGCTTTTAAGGGGTGGATGTACGATCCATTAGATTTTAAAATGATGTTGTTGTTTTAAAATTTTGTCTTTGACTTTAGGTCCGCAGATTTAACCACAATTAAGTGGCCGTCTGTTCTTTCGAACCAACCTTTTGTCTTTGACGATTTTAAAGTTACCGCTGAGTTTTGATCATACGGCGGACTGCGTTTTGTGTTTGCAAGTCCTGTCTTATGCCAATTGCCCTGAACCTTTCAGAGCCTAGAACTTCAGGCAGATCTCGCCTTCCGTTTCTGTTCTCGTACCATGGATCTGGCATGTTCCACGGTTCGTCGCCATCTCCAGCTATGCAGCTCCAGTTTCTGTTTTTTTGCACTTCTGGTCTCACCTGGGCCGTCCTCCTTGTACAGTTGAAAACCAAAACAATACGCTGCTCCCATTTGAGCGGTTGCGCTCGTGGCTGCAGATAAAGTTTGGACTGTTCTGGCCGTCCAGACGTATGGCTCCTCTGTTTCTATTGGTTTGGACTTTATGACCTGAGTCTCTCCGCCAACAGAAGATAGATTTTTGAAAGTGATTTTCTCGATACGGAAAGTATCGAAACCACTGATTATATCCGAAATTGATCGTAGGTATTTGAGGTTAAACCTCGTACCTGTCGAGAATTCTGGAAAGCTGTTCTGGGTGATTCCAAAACCAGCCAACCTTTGCCGTATCTCCGGTCGTCGCTCGCCTATAGGAAAGATTTTTCCTATTAAGTTTGAGGTCCACTCAGAGTGTGCGGGTTTGCCGATTCTGAAGTTAGGTATCGGTTCAGCTTCCGGAGAAGCGAGAGCCATAACCATATCCCCAGCAATTCCAAGGCTCGGTATCTCTTCGAATAAATTGTGAGTGTCCACATTTACACTTTGGGCATGATAACCTCCAAAATTTTGGACCACTGTGACGGGCAATGCTGGTACGTGCAGCAGTGTCTCTTTTCCCATTTTGTCAATGTATGTCCCGATTTCCTGAACATACGCATAGACTGGGAGTGGCACATTAAACACGTCGTCGCATGTCGCCTTCCTTAGATCCTTCTCCTGAGAAGTTAAAGCCGATTGTGATTGCTTACTTTTCACCTCGATGAATTTGAGGTGGAGTAATGCTGTTGTATAGTAGACAAACTCTTCTTTTGTAAGCGTCCTATCTAGTTGCTTAACATCAGTTTGCAAGCTTGAGAATGTCTCAAGGCTTAGGTCTATTAGTCGTGAATAGTTCGACTGAAACTCTTGCCTGGGAGCAATCTCTACTACGCTGACATCAATGCCAAAGATAGCTTCGTTTACAATAGACTCGTTGCGTTGTGGAGTCTGTTTTGTGCTAAGCGCAGCTGGCGGTGGTACTTCGAATCCCTTCGGACCACTTTGCCTCTGTTTCGGTTGCATCGGCGCCGTCTTCTTTCCAAACTTTTTTTTATGCTGGTTGTTATGTTAAGTGTTATTTTAAATGGCATAACCAATATCCATACAATGAAATAATGCCTTTGCTTTATTGATGTTTATTCATTAGGTGTTTTTTACATTTTATACCTATCTGTATACAAGGTGTCCCAATATTCCATGGACATGGAACTACAACGTATTTTTGTAATCAAAATAAGTTTATTGGACATAATTTACTTCTATAAAAAAGTGCTTCGTTTGTCCGCTAGAGGGCATCAAGCTTTAAAAAAATAAACACATCTTTCAGATATTTTAAGAACCGTTATACCGATTTAAATGAGATTTGGGGTGCCTATGTTTTGCTAAGTACTTTAATATTTGGACTTTTACAAAAATCAAAAAAAAATACGGGAAGGGTGAAAACTACCCCCTCACCTGTATACATTTTAGTATAAATATTTTCCAATTCAACCGATGACCGATTTTTTTTGTAAAATGGCCCCTCTAGTATTTAAATTCTTTGTCCCTTGTAAAAAAAATCGCTACA